CTTTCTATTTCCACCTTTTGGTACTCATATATCTGGCAACCCTATCAACACAGCACACACCATTTGGCAGGCCTCCTTTATCTGGAGCCCAGTATCTTTAAGAAGCTGGAGGGACTGCTGTGCGGGAGAGAAGGCAGGGAACTACATGGCCACCACCCCAGTTATACAAATCTAAATATGGATCCAACTCAGTGCTTTTAATGTGGATTTCTTTGGCAAGATATTCAAAAAGAAAAGAAAAAAAGAAGCACTAGGGACAGATATAGAAGGGAGAAACTGCTAATGTCCAGAGATGCAGTTTATAATACGTAAACAAAAGTGCTGATACTCACAATGGAGACATGCAACTTATATAATTATCCTAAAACCATTAAAAGTGAGGGAAGGCACGGGAACTCATGTTTCCTCAAACGATACAAAAATCTATCTCTAAATTCAGAATGGCTCCCAATGCCAGATGTACCTTAACGTCTGGACTAAATTGCTAAAAATACCATAAAGGTAAATAACGCATTATGTTGCATTTTCTAAAAAGTGATCTTCACATTGCCTTGTTTATATTGGGAAAAAAATGCATAGCCCTGGTCTACCACTCTGGTCCTGATCCGAATTGGTGCCCCATATTGGTATTATTTTCTGTCAAAATGCATTCCTTACTTCCTGTTTTCTCTCAGAAACACTGAACAGTTGCACAAAATAGCAGGGGTGTGTGTCAAAGGACTGCAAGAGATTGTGTGAGTAACCAGAAGGATGCCATAATGAAACAGCCATAAAGTACAAAATAAGAGGCCAGCAATACTTTCACGAGACCATTAAAATCTCACGAACAAACAAGGTTTTGAGTCCTGTAGCACTTTTCATCAGGCATTGTAAAACTCTGGAGGAGAAAAAGATCAAAAATCATCCTGTATAAAAGGCAAGCTTAAGTACAGGATCTCTACTTAAACAAACGATTTTTATCATAACATTTGGCCTAACTTTAATTCAGAGATGCATCCTTTTTAAAGACAGCTTAATGTAACATATAATTTGGTCCTAAATGGTGCAGGCAAGGGTTGGTGGAGAGCTGGTTCTCAGAAGGTGCCCATTTTTCCTTTTAATAATACCAATTTCTGTCACTTAGTATACTGATGGCAATGTGTTAATTTATAATAAATGTTGATTTTTTAAAAAGGCTTAAAGGGCAATAAAAAAAGCTGTCTCACTTACCATTTCCACTAATGATAAATACAAAAACATTCCGGCAATGACGGTAAATATCCAGTTTTGAATGCGAGAATCTGTCAATACTGAAAGGCCAATGCAAAGCCCTATGAAAGCAGTTAGGGCACTTATGAAGTTCATTAAAATGGCAATCTTTGAAGAAAGCTCTGTACTTAATAACACTGCAAAATCCCCTGGGCATAGAAAGGAAATAGAAACATAAAATATTTATTGGCCAATAAAATACTGGTAGAATTTCACAATATTGCCCCAGTGAAAACAGTTCTTGTTTTTTTATGTTACTGTGTGATCAAGTTTTACCCTCCCTTTCACTTTTTCATGTGAGTGTCTAACTGTTCTTGTGAACTGTGAATGTACATTTTGGCTAAGATATGTCTTATATATGTATTTATTTATTTACTCTTAAATTTATATCCTGTCTTTCTTTCAGAGATGGGGATACTAATAGTTATAACATTAAAATAATATTAAAACATAAAAATAGATTAAAAACCACAGTTAAAACCCATCAGTTAAAAACAACAACAACAACCCAACAATGGCTAGAATCCTATTTCTTACATACACTGGTACAAATTACAGCAGCAAATTATTGCTAGTTAAGGGATTGATGCTTATATCCCTCAGTGCATGTCAAGGCACTGCAGTTTGCTCCTGTAATTTTCACCCTTGCTCTTACTCAAGGAGTGGCTCTGGCAATTCTAAAGGCACTCAATGTGACTTACAAACCATAAAAAGCAAAGAAAAAAAATTAAAACAAGATGCATGAACGGTTAAAGAGTTGTAAAACACAGAAATATTAATATTGTCATCTGAAAACAGACTAAAATGTAACAGCATTTTAAAAAAACATGGACCAAATTAAAAGGAGATAATGTCAGCAAGTATAGCACATCTACGTACCTATGCTAAGCTTAAATATTAAAAGTCCGGCTGAAGAAGAACATTTTCAATTACCAATTGGTATGGCCTCACAGGGACGGCATTCTGTAACCTGCAGGTAGCCATCAAGAAGGCCCCCTCCCAAGTTCGTGTCAAACATACCTGTAAAGGTGAGGGGGCTGATCACCCTTGCCTGTAAAGGGAGCCTCTCAGTGGAAAGATAAAATATACACGTAAGAGTGCTTAGGCTCCCCCTCACCCCCTTGCTGTGCTATATTAACAAGCTTCAGAAAAAGAAAAGGAAGAGGCAGCCCTCTCCACTTATCTTTCTCTTTTCTGCTACCTTTGACTGATTATTTCAGATTGGAAGGAACTACGCTTGATAATTTGTGCTTTTTCTATACAGTAGATTAGTTTTGACACTTGCATTGTTTCTTGGCTTGTCCTGAGATGTTTGCAAATAAAGGATGTCTTTTCCTTTTGCACTGAGGTTGTGATAATACCAGTTAGAAATCATTATGAATCACAATACTTTGCAATACTGTGAAAAAATATTCAGTGTCCCGTTTTGTCCTGTGCTCTGGGATTGAGTTGGGAGAACTGTGATTATACCCCTGGAAGATGTCTACTCTTTTTGCCAACAGGAAACAGTCAAGTGTGCTGTTTATGAACTGAACCCAAGATATCCTTGATGGCATTTAATAAGCAGGCCAATCCATGGTCGTCTTGCGAGGCACCACTGTATGGCGGTGGTAACAGGAATCTCCAAATGTTCCCTGAAATTCCTAAACCTTAGATGAATACAGCTTGAAATTTTCATAATTTTATGCACAGACTTCTGCAGACCGCTAACTTATCACTTCTAGTTTTTCCTCTTGAGTTTGGTATCTTGTGTTTTGTTTAATATGTCAGGGATTTAAAGACAGGGGAGGAGATACTGGATTTGCATGGATGATACAATCCAGGATGTACTTTTCTCTGTCCCCCTAAAGATCCATGAAAAAAACCCTGCTAACTGCACTGAACTGGCTGGTGTTTTGTTTCCATTTTTTACTTTTTGGATGCCAAACCCCAGCATTCTTGACCACTGGCTGTGCTAGTTGGTTTCTGTGAACTAAATCCAAAACACTGAGAGAGAGGCAAATGTTGAGAACCACTGATATAGGGCATATATAATAATAACTGCATGCCTCCAAGTTGATTCTAACTTATGCTGGTGATGATGATAATCTTAGAACTGCAGAGCTGGAAGGGACCCTCTGGATCATTAAGTCCAGCCCCTGTAAAGAGGCACAGTGGGGAATCCCAACCTTTAGCTCCACAGCCAGATACCTCAACAAGTAAGCTATCCATTTTTATGTATATTTGCTTGATAGAAGAGAATTTAAAGAAGGAAAATGTGAAGGCAGTGAGGATGGAAGGGGTACAAAATTTCAGCTATGTCAGACATATATGACTGGATTAGAAGGTGGAATGATAATTACAGGTGGGTTAAATCAGTAAATGTGAGACAAAACATTTTAAAGATGTTCTATAGATGGCACCTTAAAACTGGCAAAAAGGGTGTTAGAGATTAATTCTGGTTAAAATATTGTCAGCAGCTTTGGACTCTCTTGTGTATGAGTGGTAGATAAGTATATATAACTTTTAAACTAGAAATCCAAAAATCCCTAAATGGTTTAGGACCTCGATATCTACCGGAATGCCTCCTCCCACCTAGATCTACCTGAATCACTCATTCTAGCCAAGAAGGGCGGCTGAGGGGCCTGACGCCGAGGGAGGCCCGGCGGGAGAAGACGCGAAACCGGGCCTTCTCGGCGGTGGCTCCTCGCCTTTGGAACAATCTCCCTCCTGAGATTCGCACGGCCCCTACCCTGGGTACATTTAAAACTCAACTAAAAACATGGCCTTCCCTCCTGCCAGCATCTAATCTAATTTAATTCATCTGACTTTCCTTATCTATCTATTATTTATGATTTATGTTACGTTTTGTTAATTGATATTTTCGATTTATGTTATTATAATTGTATATATGTTGCTGTTAGCCGCTCAGAGTGGTATAGACTTATCAGATGGGCGGGATATAAGTCAAATAAATAAATAAATAAATAAATATCTCTCTAGGCCAGCTCAGTCCACATGTTCACACAGGCCTTTTGTCCAATGTATCCTTGTGCCCTTAAACCTGATTAATAAGGAGATCCTTCCCTGAAGATTGTAAGACCTGAGAAGGGTTATAAGGGGAGATATGGTCCATCAGATAGCCTGGATACAAGCTGTATATGGTATTATGTGCCCTAACCAGCACATTACATTGGATTCAGAAATGGACCGATACTTAGTGAAGCAGATGTAACAGAGTTACATGCCCCCTGTAACCAGTCCTGGTCAACAGTCTGGCTGCAACATTTTGCACCAGTTGAAAGTTCCAAACCATTTTCAAAGACAGAGTGCATCATAGTAATCGAAAACAGCATGACACTAAAGTATGTGTCATCGTAACTGGCAATCAGTAGCCTATATCTAAAGGAGTGGGTGCAGCTGGTGAACTAGCTTTAAGTGAGCATATGCATGCCTGGCCACAGGTGAGAACCTGGGTTTTCAGGGGGAGAGTAATTCCACATAACACAGGTTAAATTCTTATTCCCTGATCTGTCTTATGATTGACCAGGAGTACCTCTGTCTTGTCTGGATTAAATTTCTGTCTATTAGTCCTCGTCCAGTCCATCACCAACACCAGACACCAGTTTAGAACAAGAATTACAGTACTTCCTTGGAGTTGGATGGAAAAGAGAAGTAAAGTTGCGTGCCATCAACTAATGGCACCAAACTCCAAAATGCCAGATGACCTCTCCTAATGGTTTCATATAAATATTAAATAGCATGGGGTCAAAACAGAACCCAGAGGGATGCCACTGGCCAATTGCATGATATCAAACAGGAGTCCTCCAGCACCACCTTCTGAGTTTACTCCTCTGGAAAGGACCAGAGACGGTGGCTCCAAGTCCCATCCCAGAGATACAATTGAGAAGGATACCATGGTCAAGGATACCAAAAGCCACTGAGGAGTCCAGCAGAACCAATAGGGACACACTTCCCTCCCTGTCCAGCTTTCATCACAGGTCATCCACCAAAGTGACCAAAGCCATCTCCATCCAATAGCCAGACCTGAAGCTGAATTGACTTCTGGAGAATCTATTTCGTCCAAGAACCCTGGAGTTGAGAAGCCACTCCCCCATACCTTGCCGAATAATGGAATAAGGGAGACTAGCCAATAATTACATTGCACGGTGGGGTTTAAGAAACTTTTTCAGCAGAGGTTTTACAACTGTCTCCTTTAAACATGTGGGCAGCCTATCTTTTTACAAGTACTCCTCTTATCCATTCATCCAGTGCTGCTTTTAAAATCTAAGGGTAAGAATCCAACAAACATATAGTGGTATTAATCCCTCTAAGGAATCTGTCCAGACCCACTCAGTGAGGCACGTGAATGATTTTAGATTCTCAATTTATGGTGTCCTGATCACTTTATGTGGATGTGTGTACAACGTAACTTACTTCAAAACGTGGTACACCAATTTTACTGCAGTCGCAGGGAGGAGGTGCAACTCATCCTGTAGAACTTCTAGAACAAAGTCCTGCCTTGACAACACCAGTACACTTATCAGAATGTAAGCTGCATGGAATGTAATCTTTCCAATACATAGAACTGTTCTGCAGAGTAGAACTGATTTAAACTTTGTGCGGGCCTTCAAATGAAGGAAGAAAAAGAAAGCTACCATTCCATGTTTCAGCTGGGAAGTTGTATATTCCTTTGCTGTTTGTTCTTAAACAAAATCACATGTGAAGTTCTCCGTTCCCAGGGTTTCAAGCTAAAAATACCTATAGGTGTATGTATATTCATGTGCTTTCCATCTGAGTTGCACTCTCAGTTAGAAACCTGATAAACAAAATTATGTAACCATATTGCATGATCTAGAGGTGTCTGTTGAAAAGAGTGATTCAGTGGGCCCTAGTGCTGATCTTAACATTCAGAATTAGTTTTTGAAAACTACTTCTAAGGCTGAAGGTATTTTTATAGTGTTCTCTAAAATAATTTTTAAAAAAACTCTCCACATTGCTGTCTTATGTGAACAAACTCATTTTGATTGATACATAGTGGTATATAAATAAACTGCTTTCCTTTATCACTCTGCTCCCAGATTCTGAACATCTGATCGGAATCTCATCAGTTAATGCTAGGAGTGTGCATGCACCATCTGCTTCAATTTGGTTCAAATTATTTGTGTTACAAACCACAACTGATTTGCTTCAAGCCAGTTTGCAGACTATCCAATTTTATTTGTATCCAAATATTTTAAAAATGCTTATACATATTTGTATCTGTCCCAATAGGGGAAAAAATGAAACTGTGGGAAATACAGGTCTTACCCGTTATGGGGTTGACACTCAGTGCCATTAGCAACCGTTTGACTTCCAGTGTGTAGATAAAGCTCTCTACTATTTCTTTTTTCCTCTCTCTCTCATTTCTCACTTCCCCCACCCACACTGGGAACCATGAAATGTACTTGTGGTAAGTGAGACGAGAGTATAGAAGCTCTCGTCGGAGTGCCGTCTCTCAGTAAGCCGTCTAAAGAAATACAGATCACTCCACCACCAACCCCTCCTAGGATGGTACGCCAGAGTATAGATACCCAGGAGTTGGAGATGAATCTATGGGGGTTGAATGTGTCTACACAGATGGGAAAGGATTTGGCGGGAAGAGATGAACAGGGGCGGTCCGTAGTTGAGGCGGGAATGGGGGATATAAATATGGGTCAAGACAATATACCAGGTGGTTGGGAACTGATCTGGGTGGAAGACCCATGGACTAGGAAATGGGAAAAGATCAAAGTGCCCAGAGAGGAAGCTGACTACCATCATTGAAGAGGGCTTCCCCAACGTCCATCATATTGGGGGGAGTCGGAAGCAAGGGAGTGGAGGAGACGGCTGAGAGAGGAGCGAGAGGCTGTCGCAAGGGAAGCTGAAGAGCGTGCCAAGGAGGGGCGGAGGATAAGGTACCTCCGGGACCATGGAGAGTCTTTGAGGGATTGGGATCCCCAATGTGGGGAAATGGACAAGAAGACGAAACCCTACCGTTACTGAATGGGGAAGTAACGGAAGGAGAAGTTCCTGAGGATGACCCACTTGTTCTGGGACCGTGGGAAGATAAATCATTAAACCCTTTTGAAACTGAATTGTGTTTGCCCTTGCGGGACCTGTTGGTCTCGCAAGAGAAGTTGCATAGAGATACCTTTAAAGAAACGTTACCATTGACAAGAGAAATAAATAAAACTTCAGACTTTGGTTTAATTACGACTCCTGGGTTATTTGGAAAAATGTGGAGGCTAACAGTGAACCCTCACAGTACTCAACAAAAATATTTGTTGAGGGATGGGATACCCCGCTCAGTAGCTTCACCTGCCACAATGGATAGAACACATGGTTACTGCATTGTGTGTCATGTTTGCCACCCACCCTGTCTAAAACACAGACTTGCACAGCAAAAGAAAAAAAAAGATAAAGGCAAAGTGCTGTAAAAATAAAAGCCAGTAGCAGGCATTAAAAATGGTAAAATACAAAACAAGACAGAGGAGATTGCTCAAGTTCTGTTCCTAATGTTCCTGTGACCTGTGCCACTCAAATCCCACATGGAGGCACAGATTTCACACACACATGAACTTAATTGATTGGATTGAGATTTGTAGTTGCCTAAAAGGAAAGAAGAAGAAAAGAACTGTTGAATAGCTCAGTGATTGAACATACTTTCCTCACAAAATGGATGCCAAACAGAGGGATGGGAAATGTGATTGGGGTTTTTGGAAGAACTTAGGTTTTTCATTGGTGATTGAACTCTCGATCTTCTTTTGTTTTTGGCTTCCTGGTTCTTCTGTTACAGCATTGCTTTTGTTTTCCCAGTGAATTCTTTAAAAAATTGAATTCTTTAAAAAAAAACACCAACCCAGTGTGGCGTCCGCCCAGGTCATGAATATTCATATCCTATCTACATAGATCAATGGGAGTGCTGGAGGGGTGGAGTCATGAGGTATAAGAGACTCAGCAGGAGGAGGGGAAGTTTAGATAGGGAGTTTTGAGATATAGAGATAGAGAGTGTTTCGGAATTAGGGTGGGAAAGTGGTTGTTGAGAGTGGACGAAGGAGAATGTTTGTTAATAGTTAAAAGCATTGCTTGAAATATCTACAACTGTAACAATAAAAAAATTATATTTGGTTCTTTTAAAATGACATATGGCCTGGACTTCAATTATTAATAATACATTGTGTTGATATAATCAACTGATGGCAGCTGAGGGGCACGTAGTGTGAGCTCCTAATTTGGTGAAACAAGCAGGGACCACATGGGGATCGTGACACCCAGCTTTTTAAATGTTTAAAGTGCCAAAGCAATACTGAACACCTTGAAGAGCCCTCATTTAAACACTACTTTGGACTCCCTTTGTTTCGGAAATGGAAAATACAATTTCTCTTTGGATTCCAAATAATTTTTGAACACAAAGCACATTGCTACTCTATACTCACAGGTAGTTTAGAAGAGAATGATGCATTCATTGGTGTCAGATCAGATATAATCTGTCCACCATCCTGTTTCCCACAGTGGCCAACCGCACGCTTATGGGAACCACACAAGATATGAGAGGAAACACCCTTTCCTGCTGTTATTCCCCCAACAACTGGTATTTCACAGAGCCACTGGGCAGAATCCTCTCACCTGTTTCTCAAACCCAGCACTCCACTGTGCTTTTTGTAGGGTTTTGCAAGATACAGAATATTGCAGTTATGTTTGGCAGATATTGATTGCCTTATCCTCCATTGTTCTTGGCCAGCCACTTAACGGTTGCAAAGCAAGGACTGAAACACCAACTTATATCCTATTACTGCCTTACATATGCCTAAATGTAGGGCTTCATTGCTAAATCAGGTGCATTTATTTACATGAAGGATTACCAAAATATCTGGAGTTTTAGAAAATCTAAGTAAATGGAAGTGCTATTTGTGAGGATGATGGTATGGGATAATGTATTATATCTTTGCGAAAATGAAGTTTGACTAATGAAAATCAAATAATGATAATTTTTATTATAAACACACACACATAGTGCACAGAAGGAAACACTCCCACTTAGCATTCTTTCATCAGCAATTGACTTAAGAGACCTCATACAAGGTTCCTATCAGTGACCTTTAAAGTCTGGCCCTCTATTTGGAAACACCTGACACAGAGCATGCTCTGGCTGTTGTAGATATTGTTCTGTTACCCATCTTACTTTGCAAAGCACAGGCTGTTGCTGCACGGTGGATTAGCATTAATTAATTTGAATATGCAATAATTATACAGGTAAAGTGAAGGCTAGTGTTGAGCAAAGCAGGTGACATGTGTACTTCCTTAAAGAAAAACACATAGTTGTACCAGCAAAGGATATATGACATCATTTACGATCTCATGATATGATATAGGAGTAGTTGTAGTTGCCTGTGATGAAGCCATCAGCAAAATTGTGAAGACTGTCACCCACTAGAATCATAATAGCAAGCAAGCTAATCCTTTGATCTAGAAGAATAAAAGCTAAAATACTGTAAGTGCAGTTATTAAACTTCTTCCTGGAAATCTATTGTGTCTTGATCCATTATGTATCTGTTTGCTTGCTAACTCTGCATATGCCTTTCTACTGAAATTGTGCACAATGTTGCTCGTAAAAGCTAAAAAAACACAAAGTGAAATGCAAAGTAACTTTTGACCTTAAAAAAACTGATTACCGAAATTTCTGCTAGATTCTCATCCAGTAGGTTATAATTTCTGTCATTTCATCGGAACTGTTCTAATATCGACAAAATAAAATAAGTACACAAATGGGGAAAAAGCCTCCTATAACAGATATATTGGCTAAAAACAGTAAGTCACAACTAAAGTAGTCCCAGTGAATCAGTGGCAATTTGATGAGTAAACATTGGCAAGTTCCATTGATTCAATAGGCCTACTCTTGTTGTAACTTATTACTGGATTTCAGATATTGATGACATGACACAGTTCAGCTACCATTATCCCCCACAATTAGCTGGCTAGGGCTTGAATTTATTTATGTATTTATTTCTAACCTGCTCTATCCAGAAGGCTCATGACAGGGTACAAAAATACAAGAAATGTATAAAAAATGTACAAAACAACTCACATGCTTTAAAACCATTTAAAATACTATGAAACAATTTCAACAAAAGCAGCCCAGCAAATTGATAGATTATTGTTAAGCTATTTTAATACTCATTTTACTAATTCTTAGAAACCCAATTAGCAGTGAAGATAGGCTAAAACGTATCTCAATGTGTATTATTTTCACAGTGGGCAAGGTGAAGAGTAACACAGTATATAGAGATAAAACAAAATGAAGGCAGACAAATTAAACAGAAACACCAACAGCGAAATAGATGATACATAGTTACCCAGACCCAAAGACCTCTGAAATGATGCAATCTTGTGTCTCGAAACCAAGAAGGGGAAGGGGAACTGCCTCCTAAGAGAAGTCTGCAATGGCAGTGCTCCACAGAAAAGACTCTATTGTATGTCTGGGGTGGGACTACTCTGCAAATAATATTTTTAGCAAAATGCTCCTTACCATTTTGCTAAAACCTAGGACAGTTAAGGTTGGGTTTTGTCTATTGTGCTACAGATTGTGTTTAAGAATTAAAATATTCTTTGGTGAATGAAATGTTTTCTTAGCAGTGGGTTGCCTAATGAAATTTAAAAGCTGGAGTAAATCATTTCATTCCGTCATTCCCTTTACTCCAGCTGGAGAAGGACCACAATTAAGGTAGATCAGGGTGGGTAAAGTGCCATCCATGGGCTGCATGTGCCTCTCACCAAGGAAATTCATCGTGCCAAGGGTCCTAAAGAACATCTCATAGGGGAAGGGGAAAATAGATCTGGGCTTCCATTCCTGGGGGTCACTGGCAGCAAAAGTTTTTTTTTAATGGGACTATGGGCTTGCTATTATGATTCTATACATGTGCTCCAATTTTTTTTTAAGGAACAGAGGCTGTCAGTGCAGGCACTTCCTGTTTACTTTTGTTTGTTCGTTTTAATTGCTCCATTTTGTTTAAAAAGAGGGGGCAGGAGGGCACAGATTTGGCCAATGTGCCTCCTGAGCATGCCCATTCTGCTATAGGAGATCTCAATAATCCCTCTTCCTTTCCCAGGAAACACTATTACAGCATGTTGGATAATAAATCACATTTGAGCAACACACCAAAAATTGGGCAGTGGAATGCTCCTGTGATTTTATTGTAAGCATGTTTTTTTTCTCTCGAGACAACTGTTTTAAACTGTTTCAGTCTCCCATAGACTGAAAATTTCTAAATGATTATAAAAAGAAACACTGCGAGGAATAATAATTAAAAAAAAAAATAGAAGCACTGTATTCAGAAAGTGCTGGGAGCTTTTTGAGCTCTAAAACATTGGCAGGCTTGCTAGGTTTCCTTGCCAACTTGCAGAGCTAAACGTAGATGTCCTCAGCTTGAACAGCTCTTTCAGAAACATTAAAGAAGTATCGCAGGGCACAACAAGAGAAGCACAAATATAATACTGTAGAGTTGTTCTATCACATTATGTTTGCAAATAGTGATACACATTAGCTCAGCTGAAATCTTAGCTTGCCAAACATGAAGCTGTTATCCCAATTTATATATACAACGGTTGTAAGAAAGGACAGAACAGAATGGCCTCAGGCTTTGTATTTTGGCAGGCAGCGTGTTGTGGCCACTGTGGATGTAGCAGGCCCAGGTTAGATGGAAAGCAGAGGAATTATTTTCCACAATTCTAATGTAATGTTAAAGATAGATCACAAGAAAGCAGATAGAAGTAACTGCACAGGGCTCCAATATTAAACATAACTGTAGTATTAATGAAAAGTCAACCAACTTATAGAACTTCATTCTGTACACACCTAATATATAACAGTTAATTTCAAATGGTTGTGTTAGTCAGCTGTTCATAGGATGGTACACAAATGCCCAATATTGACAAAAGCAACAAAG